GAATGAAAAAAAGGGGTACAAGGGAGCCTAAGCCCTGGCGTTCTTGTCGCCGGAAATCTTTCGGTGCGCCCACATCTTCGCGCTCATGTAGATTCCGCAATATGGACACATGTAGTACACGTTCATGAAGTACTCCCCGAGCCGCTCGTCCCCTCCCATCATGTCGTCGTGCTCTGCCTCTTTCTGCATCTCGGGATCACTACCAGAAGCCTGTTTCAGGAGACGCATCGCGCGCAACTTCAGCAACAACGGCCCGTATTATCAGACTAACCCATAGAAATGGGAATAAGGGCCCACTCGGGGTCCTGAAAACCTCGACAAAACCCTGAACGTCAGAGTAACCCTGAACCCTAAACCCTTAAGCTTCGGCCGCAGCGCCGGAGGGCGCGATCTGAGCTCACCCCGGCCCAACGTGCCTACGACTTTGAGCCAAGCTATACAGGGTGCTCGTGCTGGGTTTAGGGTTTAGGGTTTGGGGTTTGGGAAGTTTAGGGGTTAGGGTTTAGGGTTCATGCGTAGTCAAAAAGTGTGGGGATAGACTCTAGGCTCACAGTAGCATATAGACATAGATCTTTTTAGAAGGTATATGACGCCCATGAAGCTGCAGATGCTCCTGTCCTGAAGGCCACCACCACTACAAAGTCGACGCTGACGAGGATGTTACCAAGACAGTGCCGCATGCAACAGCGAGGCATTAGACGATGCCAACACTACGGCAGACGACTACGGCGTTTCTTCAACGTGAACCCTAAGCCCTCGCAGGAAAACCCTATACCTAAACACCTGAACATGCTATTCTTGAGGGTAGTGGCTCAGGGTCGTGATTCTTGGAGGGGTGTGGAGTTTACCTTGGAGTAACCTGTAGGGCTTCTCCAGATGATGGTTGGTTTGGGGATTCCTATTCCAATGCGGAGCCGAATCCTTCGGATACCCAAAAGGGGTCCATAATGTGGCGACATGCAGAGGAGCCATCTTTTAAAACCGGAAACATACCCAACAATCGAAAGCAGTTTCACCTTCAGGGTCTGTATGTAGTACGTGCTCCACGTGTCTTAGTCTTAAACCCTACACTGAAGACCGGCCCCACGGCACGGGGCCGGTCGCAGTAGGCAGACCGGAAGGCGCCTGCGGACCGTAGGCGAAGGCCGGAAGGTGAGCCTTAGGTCCTGGACCGGAAGGTCCACGTGGCAATCGCAAAGGCAACTCCCAATCTGTATAACGATAGCCCTAAACAGGGCCTTTGCCCTGAGGACGCTTGCCATCCTTACGAAATTAAGGGGCTGGAATCCAAGAACCCAAAATTGAGGGCTTGGGACCGAAAAACTAAGGGCTTGGGCTTTAAGATTAAGGATTTGAGACATACAAGTAAGGGTCGAAGCTCAAAAAATTTGGACCCTAAATTAAGGGTTTGGGACCGAAAATTGAGGGTTTGGGCTTTAAGGAAGCTTAAAAATTAGGGCTTGGGACAGTGATCACTCCGAAAACCAAGGGCTTCATCCCGCCACAAACTTCCCCACCACCGGGTCTCTCCCGAAAGGGGCCGTGAGGAGATCCCCCGCACGGCCACAAAATTCCCAAATGTCCACCAGGGCGTGTAAGGGGCCTCCGCGTGAGGCCGTCCCCGCAAGGGGCCTCCGTCCCCACGGGGGCAGGGCGTCCCCACCAGGGCGCGTAAGGGGTCCGAAAGGGGCCTCCACATACAGGCTTTTCTGTGAGGAGATTCCCGCATGGCCCAAGATGCCAAAAACATAAAGGCCTCCCAGAACCATCCATTTCAATACTAAAAAAAACCTATTTTTTGAGGGCTCGGGGCATCCCCACCGGTCTCACCAGGGCATTCCCACAAGGGCAGTCCCAACAGGGCCACCAGGGCGTTCTTTCCAAAACCAAGTGAAGAAGCCATGTGCTCCCCCCCTTGCTAGGGGGTGGGGAGGTAGAAAACCCTAAGCCCGGAAAAGGGTTTGTGATTTGGGTTGGGAGGGTGGGAATTCAGCTCATGCGCCGACCCGTTTCGACCCCCTTCCACTTTATGGGGAGGCCTAGGCGCACTCGCATGGCAAACCCTAAACCCTAAACCCCAAACCCCAAACCCTAAACCCTAAACCCGAAACCCTAAACCCTTTCACATGGGGGCTGTGGGCTTTCGAAGTTGACCCTGAACTGCGTCGTGTCATGGTGTCATGGTCTGGCTGGCGATTTGGGGTCGGCCCAGGTTTAGGGTTTAGGGTTTAGGGTTTAGGGTTTAGGGTTTTAGGGTGTTGGGTTTAGGGTTTGGGGCTTGGGGTTTAGGGTTTAGAGCCTAGAGCTACAGGGCTCCGGGTTCAGTGCTAGGATCCAGGGGTTAGGGTGTGGTCACCCTAAACCCTAAACACCCGGCCCAGGAGTCAGGGCCTAGGGCATAACATACCTATGCATATATAATGTACTTTATTTATTTAGGGTTTAGGGTTTAGGGTTCAGAGTTCAGGGTTCAGCGGTCAGGGTTGCGGGTCTTGAGTTGAGGGCGAAAATCACCGACAACAGCTGTCTACTTCCCGCAAACCCTCCTAGCCGCATAAAAGGAGGCCACCTGGACGGCAGCAGCCTATCTGATGCCTACGGTTTAGGGTTTAGGGTTTAGGGTTTGGGGGGGCACTTAGTAAGTAGGGATATAAGTACCCTACTTGGGGTTCAGGGCTTAGGGTTTATGGTTTAGGGTTGGGGATATAAGTGTAGTTACCGTAATAACTATAACCCCACTTCCTAAGTCCCCTGATCCTTTAAGTAAACTTCCTGTGTAGGCTCCAGTTCCCGGAGCAGACTAGGAATCACGAGGTTAGGGTCTAGGGTTTAGGGTTTAATTAGGGTTTAGGGTTAGGGTTTAGGGTTTAGGGTTTAGGGTTGAGAGTTTCGGGATTGGGGCTTGGGGTTTAGGGTTTGGGGTTTGGGGCTTGGGATTTTGAGGTTTAGGGTTTAGGGTTGAGAGTTTCGGGATTGGGGCTTGGGGTTTAGGGTTTGGGGTTTGGGGCTTGGGATTTTGAGGTTTAGGCCTCAGGGTTTGGGGACTCGCAAATCAACAGAGAAACCTTGATCTCCAAGCAAAGGGTCCAAATCCTGTCGTTTTCGTCGCACGCACGACTCACGAGCTTCGCTTTACCTCCCTACATCCTACAGACCCTAAACCCGAAACCCTAAAACCCCTAAAACCCCTGCAACCCCTAAAACCCTAAAAACCCGAAGCCCTAAACCCTAAAATTAAACCCAATCTGCCGCAAGGGTTTCAGGTTTGGACTTTACAGGGTAAGCCACGTCTAGGCCCGCAATCTGTAGTTCCTCTGTGGGGAAACGAGGAGAAGTTGGGTGCACCTTCTCTTCTTTCGCCGGTCACACCTGAAACCCTAGACCCTAAGCCCCTGAAACCCTAAACCCGATAACCCGAAACACTAAACCCAAAACCTCATAAACCTCTAAACCCTGAACCCTAAACCCTAAACCCCTAAACCCCAAACTCCAAACCCTAAAGCCCTAAACCCCCAAACCCTGAACCAGGCGTCCCCCGCCCTGAACCCCACCGAGCGCAGATTTTCACACCGCCACAGCCACCACAGCGGCTACCTGTTTAGTGTTGTCAGGGTTACTAGGGTTATTGGGGTTTAGGGGTTGTTAGGGGTTTAGGATTTAGGATTATTCGCGTTTCGGCTTAGGGTTTCTGCTTAGCTTAAAGTCTTAGGGTTTGGGGTCGCTAGGGTTTCTAAGTGGTCTTCAAAGAACTGTGATAGAGGGATTTCGGGTTCGGCTTGGGGCCCAAACATTCAACCCTAAACCCTAAACCCTAAACCCTAAACCCTAAACCCTAAACCCCTCACCAGCCCCAAACCGTAACCCTAAACCCCAAACTGGCTACTACTGGGCATCCCCAAACCGCGTTCTCTGGCCTTACAAGGCCCTGATGGCCCATGCTACAGGGGCTTGGGGCTGCGGGGTTGAGGGTTAGGAATAAGGGTTTAGGGTTTAGGTTAGGGTTTGGGGTTCAGCAGCTCCAGTCCAAGCATTCACTAGTCAAGCAAATTTATCGAGCATTGGAAGAATGCCCACCCGCCCGAAGAACCCCACCACTCTTTACATTACATAAAAACCCTCAATCCAGCTTAAACCCTACCTGTCTTCAAACAGCCCAAGACCCAGTAGGCCTTAAACCTAAACCCTTTCTAAACCTTTGTCCTGAAACGGTAGCCCCCTGTACCCCCTCTACCCTTCCGTGCCCAGGGTTTAGGGTTTAGGGTAAACCCCTCGGCCCTATTGCTCGAAATGTGAATAAGGTGGGTGCCCGGTTGTTCGAAATCTGAATAGGGTTGGTGCCCGATTGTTCGAAATCTTGATAACTTTAACATCAAAACACTAATCTAGGACGGCCCTGAAAACCCTTTGAAAAATATTCCTACAATGGGAAACCCTGAACCCTAAACCCTAAACCCTAAACCCTGCACCCTAAACCGTGTCCCGTTGCAGATGAGTCCCAGACAGCTCTGTTCGCCCTGTTGGTGGCATGGCCTCGCTGTTGGTACGGTTGTTAGGGTTTAGGGTTTGGGGTTTAGGGTTTAGGGTTTGGGGTTTGGGGTTTGGGAGGGTTCCACACCCGAAACCCTACACCTCTTGTAAGGAGCTGGCCAGTCCGGGTAGGATTTGGGGCGCTTCGCCCCCTGCAGGGTTCTGGTGGGAAACAATGCAAGACCCTACGCCTAAACTCCTCCGAATACCCACTCTAAACCCTAAACCCGAAACCTCAACCCTGAATAAACCCCAAACCTTAAACCCCAAACCTTAAACCCTAAACCCTAAACCCTAAACCTCAACCCTAAACCCTCAAACGTCAACCCTAAAGCGGTAGTTGGCAGTTCGGGCTTCGGGTTGCTTAGTGTTCGAGGCTGCCCCACAACCACTACACAGGAAATACAGCCCCAGGTCGACCCTATTGAAATCTATAGAGGCACAGGGGACCCCTAGCAGCCCGGTGGCTTTTCCTACTTCCTTGACGGCTTCTTGAGCACAGACTTGACCTTCGGCTTGCCGGCGCGGGGTTTCGGTGTTGTTTCCTGGTCCACTGTTGCTTGGCCAAGCTGGTCTCGAACTCGGCTGCTGTCGCCTCCATGCCCCGGGCATCCCCATGATACGACGGATCCATCAGAGCGGATGGCAGCAAAGGCCCACCAAGTGGCTTGAATTGCTACCACGCCCCTCAGCTGCCCTTGCACGGCGGCGCTGTCCCCGCCTGAAATGGCTCTCCCCCAAGTAACGACGGTCCCATCTCCCCGAAGTGCAGCAAAAGCGCCCCCGTAAGTCGACTGCACATCTGTGACGTTCTGCAGCTGCTTGTGTTCATGAGCGCTAACATCGAAGATCGCCCCCTTGTCCGAGAACTGCCATGCCACAACAGATCCATCCGATCGGACGGCCGCACACTTGGGAAGTTCATTAGAACCACACCGAAGCCGGACAACGCTCGTCAATTCTTTTCTGAGCCACTCTGGGACCCCCTCCCCCCAAAACTGCACCATTCCATCTTTCTGAAGTATTATTATATCGTGTAATCCACCCCAAGCGAGACTGGCTGCACAATCCGGCACCGAAAGCACGCCTGACGGCACCCGCAGGTCTGGCTGGTCGCAGAGTCGAAGGCTCAGTGCCAAGTGCCCTTCTTGTGTGGCAGCGGCCCAATGCCTGACATTGAACTGAACTTGCGTAATGCCGTCCAGCCCCGTCTCATGCACACCCTGGTACGACATCGGGCCCCAGAATACAATCCTGCCTCCAGCTTTGATGGCAGCAAAGCCACACAAACCGCCGCAGACTTGCAGAACGTCTTGCAGCTCATCACACACGTGGTTGCTATCGCCGCCAAGGAAAAATGCACCCCATGTCACCACACGTCCATCTGCCCGAAGGGCTGCAAAAGCCGACGGGTTGGATTGGATGTGCTGCACGCTGTGCAGCTGATCGCGCACAGCACTGCAATCGCCTCCGCAAAAGGCGTCTCCCCAAGTCACCACAGCTCCGTCCTCTCTGATTGCAGCAAAAGCTGTCTCTGTAGCTTGAATCTGGCACACGCCATGGAGCTCTCTCTGTATGGCAGAGCTGTTGCCACCAAAACTCGGCTCGCCCCAGGACACAACTGAACCATCTCCGAGGATGGCAGCGAAAGCATGGTCCGTTGCTTGTAACCGCTGCACGTTCTGGAGCTGGTCTTGCACTGCGCTGCAATCGCCACCTCGTTTTGGGCATCCCCATGCCACTACAGTGCCATTTGCGCGGATCGCGGCGAACGCGGCACTTGTTGCTGCTACAGCTACATCTTGGACGACCGCGGTGACAACATCGTTCTCTCTGATGCCCGCTTGCGCGAGTGTAGCCGACTCCAACAAGCGGTCACCAGAGGCGCTAATCAGCTTTCCGACGGGTTTTTGAAACTCCTTCTGGACGACCTCAATCAGTGCACCGATGGTAGAGTGGGGTGACCGAGAGATGGCGATCTGCTCCCCACTTAGCAAGGCTACGTGCAAAGCGATCGAGGACATTGCGTGACTCAAAGCATGTACAGCCTTCCTGAATAGCTCTCACCGATCCCTTCCCCCCTAACATAAACGGCGTTCTGATCGTTTGTCCGAACAAGCAACCAGTCCTTCTAGCTTGCTGGCTCAGTCATAGATCAGGTTTCAAGCTTTAGGCCTAACAAGTTTCAGGCCGCCCCGCCCCCTAATTCTTTAGAGAGATTAAAAGGGGCGACTGCCGGACCGGGTTTTGGGGCCAGAGGGTTTCTCTATATGTTAGGGGTGTATCGGTGTATTTATATTAAGGGGGAAGCGATTACAATAGCGGGGCTTATGCTAATGGGGATATGAAACCCCGAGCCCTTCACCTACGGCAGATCGCCAGTACTCGTGCAACCCCAAAACCCAAAATCCCAAACCCTAAAACGAGCAGCTTGGTAGGCCGGTAAGCATATCAAAATTACGGTGCCTAGAACAACAAAAAGAGCAAAACCCTATGCCCTAAACCCTAAGCCCTACAATGGCTACCAAGGAAGTGAGCAAAGTGGACACTAGACTGGGGTTGGGCGTGGAAGGTTTAGAGATTCAGGGTTTAGGGTTTGGGGATTTAGGGGTTTAGTTTGGGGGTCTGGGGTCTTCGGTGTGGGGTTTAGGGGTTGAGGGGTTTAGGTTTAGGAGTTTAGGTTTAGGGTTTGGGGGTTTGGGGGTTTGGAGGTTTAAGGCTTCGACGTTAACAGGCCAAAGAATCAGCCACGTAGATTCTTCCGCGCGGGTTACAAGATCAGTACCGAGACGCCTGTCCAAAAAGCAAATCCACCATTGGGGTTCTTCGGGTTTAGGGCTTAGGGCTTAGGGCTTAGGGTTTAGGGTTTAGGGTTTAGGGAGGTTTAGGGAAGTTTAGGGTTTAGGGTTTTTAGATCTTCCGAGAGAGGGACCTGGAGCAATTCACACGGAGACTGCCAGGCTAGGGAAGGGACCGTGTTCAGGTAGCTGGAGTAGCTCCAGTTGGGATTGAGTTCCTCAGTGCCCATTTCAGGGTTTAGGGTTTAGGGTTTAGGGTTTAGGGTTTAGGGGAGTTCCCCAACGCAACTTCACTTCTCGACCTAAGAACAAGCCTCCAGCGCCAATGTTTTGAAGCAACAGACACCAACGTCAAACGGACGGGTTTGGGGGTTTGGGTGGGGATCTTGATCCCCCTTATACTAACAGTCCTTAAGAGGGTACCCTTGGGCAGAGGAGGGCCTTAAGCATGAGAATAGGGTTTAGGGTTCAGAAACCCTAAACCCTAAACCCTAAACCCTAAACCCTAAACCCTAAACCCTAAACCCTAAACCCTAAACCCTAAACCTAGGCTTACGGCTTAGGGCATAGGGCGGGGGGCCTCAATCATAAGAATCGGGATGAGGACCTTAGGGTTTAGGATTTAGGCCCCCCTTATGAGAATCCCTATTGAGGACTGGTCGTTTCAGGCCCCCAAGTTTTGGGGTTTGGAGGGGGCTTCCCTTCAGGCGAGCTTGGTTTAGGGTTTAGGGTTTAGGGTTTAGGGTTTAGGGTTTAGGGTTTAGGGTTTAGGGTTTAGGGTTTAGGGTTTAGGGGTGGGCTAGGGCCTTTTTGTAGGACTGTTTGTACGCGGGCTCAAGGAGCTGGGAAGCCCTAAACCCTCTAGAAGAACGGCGGTCAAGCCCTAAACCCAAAGTACTTTTCGGCTGCTGGCTAAGTTTGGCTGGGGGAAGGTGGGGGGCGGGAGGGGGGAGTTGAAACATCCCCTTATGACCCACCCGAATGATTCTAAACAGATCTGACGCTTGCAGAGGGGGGGGGGGTAAGGAGGCCTACTTGGAGGTTCATGGTACTTAGTCACTTAGTCACCCAATTTTCGCTGTACTTGCAACCCAATTATAACCAGGTTAGGCTACTTAAGGGGCTTATACATGGTTTACAACTGCAGTCATAAGTGGGCTATAAGTACCCTGAACCTCCTAGCAGGCCTGTGGTATGTGTAGGGGCCACTCCTCATCCCGCATCCCTCAACTTAGGATTCAAAGTTTCGAGGGTGGCAACAACTTCAAGCCCTCACACCCGACACCCGACCCTCATCCCTGATCCTGAACACTCATGCTCTAAAGCCTTCATGAAAAACCTTAACAACAGCACAAAAGCCTCAGAACCCCCTACAGCAAAACCCTAAACCCTATAAACTACAAACCCTAAACCCTAAACCCTAAACCCTAAACCCTAAACCGGTACAGTCATAATTGGTTCATAAGCACCATGAACCTCCAAGTAGGTCTAGGCCCGGGGCATTCTCCGCCGAACCCTCATCGATGTGGACCTCTTCAGGGTTTAGGGTTAGGGTTTAGGGTTTAGGGTTTAGGGTTTAGGGTTTAGGGTTTAGGGTTTAGGGTTTAGGGTTTAGGGTTTAGGGTTTAGGTTAGGGTTTAGGGTTTAGGCTTAGGGTTTCTTATCTTTCAAACCGTACCGGGACTCGAAGAACTTGCAGGCCAGGGGCCATGAGAAGCTCGATGCAACCACATTGGGCGTCCAACGCTCGACACCCCGCAAGCTACAGCCACACGTGCTCCAGTGAATTGCTTAGGGTTTAGGGTGTAGGGATGTGTAGGGTATAGGGTTTAGGGTTTAGGGTTTAGGCGGGTTTGTGCGCAGCAGCTCTAGGCGGCATGGTTTCCAAGCCGCCGCGTTTTCACCCGCCTTTTGCAACGGAGGCAAGATCTGTGTTGAAACAGTCTTTCGAGCGTATGTGTACTCAAGGGATTAAGACTCGTACCTGTAAGGTTGTACGCCTAAAGGTTTCCCTGAATACGCTCCTAACATGGCCCCTATACTGCGTACCCTTGGGAATCCTCAGAAAGGGTCCCCAAAACCCAAGGGTACAACCTTAAGGGTCCGAGGTAACACCCCCAAGCGCCTAAACCCTAAACCCTAAACCCTAAACCCTAAACCCTAAACCCTAAACCCAAGACCCTAGACCCTAGACTTGAGGGGGGCCTGTATATTCTTTTAGAGGATCTTCAACAGGGTCCCCAAAACCCAGGAGGGTACCGCCTCAAGGGTCCAAGGTGGGCCCCATGAGGCTCCCCTAAACCCTAAACCCTAAACCCTAAACCCTAAACCCTAAGCCAACTTTACAGGACAAAACGGCCGGCACCCGGATAGAAAACATCACCTGCCTTGGAGGAGCACTCGCCGCAGCTTTTTAAGTACCTGCCGCTCGCCAAACCCTAAACCCTAAACCCTAAACCCGAAAACCCTGAACCCTGAACCCTAAACCCGAAACCCTCAACTCGCCATAACACACCCCCAAATCTTAAACCACAGAGAAGGGGGGGGGGGGGTTGGGCTTTCAGGGTTGTGGGCTTGAGGGCTGAAGATCAACCTGCACCTCTCGCCGTATCCCTAAACCCCCGAAACCCCCAAACCCGAAACCCCCGAAACCCCGAAACCCTAAACCCGAAACCCCGAAACCCTAAACCCGAAACCCCTAAAACACCCTAAACCCGAAACCCGAAACCTGAAACCCCTAAACCCTGAACCGTGGCAACTTTGGGGGCCGCGGTGGATCTTCTTGACCCCACCTCATGAGTTTCGCGCTCAGGGTTCCGGGCTTAGGATTTAGGGCTTAGGGCTTGTTCAAAACCCTAAACCCTAAAGCCTAAACCCTAAACCCTGAACCCTAAACCCTAAACCCTAAACCCTGAACCCTACTTCGTCTTTAGTAAGAAACTAGGGAAGTAGATGCAGGCTCTCCGATTCTTCCACACCCGCAGTCCTAAACCCCAAGCCCCCAACCCTCAAGCCCAAACTCTAAACCCTAAACCCTAAACCCTAAACCCTAAACCCTAAACCCTAAACCCTAAACCCAAAAGCCTTGCAGCCCTAAAGCCCTGAACCCCTGAAAAAGGCCCCTAACAAGCCATAAGAACCCAACAAAGCCACGAAAAAAAACAACCTGAAAAAGACGCCACCGAAAAAGCCACTAAATATGGGCACTTCAAGCCTAAAATGCCCTAAAACACCAAAAGATCCCTCAACAGCCCCTAAAAAACCCTCCCAAAAGACGCCCAAACGCCCCGAAGAAGCCCTAAGAAGTCCTAAAAGACCCTAAAGAACCCGTATGGGCACTTGAAGCCCTAAACCCTAAACCCTAAACCCTAAACCCCAAACCCCAAACCCTAAACCCTAAACCCCAAACCCCAAACCCTAAACCCTCAATGGGCACTTCAGGTCCAACTCGAAGGAGTGGCAGCTCTCATCCGCCCGTCCCAGCTTCTTGTTCACCTGTTTCTTTAGGTGGGACTTCGGAGGGTTTAGGGTTTAGGGTTTAGGGCTTAGGGTTTAGGGTTTAGGGTAAGTTTAAGGATGTCTAAGGTTTAGGGTTTAGGGTTCAGTGGGACTTCGGATGGTTTAGGGTTTCCGGGTCACCTGTTTCTGGGGGCTTCTGGCGCCAGATTTGGGATTTAGGGCTCCAGGAGATTCGGGGTTTCCGGGGTTTGGGGACTGGGCCGGGTGCGACACAAACCTTGAGTCCTAGTTGTTAGTTGTTTAGGGTTTAGGGTTTAGGGTTTAGGGTTTAGGGTTTAGGGTGCTGGCCGAGTGCCTTAACAGTACAGTGCATCGACTTCAAATGGCTGCTAAGCGTGGGATTGGGCGCGTCCTTCGAGCTGTTGTGGGGGGAGTGGTCACCTGGGCCCTCCCCTAAATCTTAGACGAATGAGGTTTTAAGCCTGATAAGCTTTTCAAGCCTAAACCTATCTACACCCGACACCCCAAAAACCCCCGAAGAGTGGAGTATGTTGGCACATGAAACAATAAGGCATACATGCAGCCTAAACCCGACCGAGTATCCTCTGAAAAAACATGGGTGGGCTTCTGAAAATGTGGTCTACAAGGCCTCAAGTGGCAGCAACGGGCACTCTAGAACTAGGGCTGAGGATTTGGGATGCTGCATTCTAGGGGATCTACCTCAGACCCTTAAGGTTGTACCCTTGGAATTTGGGGTCCCTCTTTAA